TATAGCTTATGTACATTATGTACCGATAATGGTTAATAAAATTATTATTATTATTATTACTTCACTCTATGTACATTATGTAATGGAGATAACCCGTATAAATAAATCAATAAATAAATTTCCTTGGATTGCAGAAAATAATTCGATATGTATTAGAAATGGTCCAGGATGTGACATTGTATACATTTGATCTTTTGGATAAAAAGGTATTATTTTCAGTCTCACTTACCCAGCTTTGTATACGATGTGATGCTATATTCTTATATTTCAGCTTCGTCGTGGATGTCGACAGGACATCTTTTGGATTTATAGTCTCTTTATTATAAGAAAAATTTGAGGCATTGATCGGATGAGGCGAAGAAGGTTCGGTAGTCACCTCCTGATTACCAGAATTCGATGTGACGATATACGTTGCCGAATTATCGCTCTTGAGGTAAGGTGGAGGTCCAACGTCGAAAAGCTCAGGCTCCATAGGGGTTCCATACAAGCCGTACCGTCCTCTTAACAACAAATGATAGGGATTTGACCTATTCACTAGTTCATTGGATATCCTACCGAGCAAGGACGTGCACTTGGCGGCTATCAGCGACTCCTTGTTCTTGCTAGTCACTTTCAATAAAAGACAGAAGAGCCATTGCAAACCTGCGGCCGATTTTATTTGATTTATGTAGTCTAGTATGGAGAAAATCGATGTGAGAACGGCCGATGAGAAACGTTCCCCTCGTGCGCTGCTTATGTTTTCGGCGCCACTGAAAGCATTGAAATCAAAAATCAAAATGAAGCTTTCAACTTTGATTTGTGCGTATGAATCACATCTTTGCATACGTCAATGACAGGAGGGCGGGAATCATGAGAAATTGGTGTCAGGTGAGGGTTATAGATTATTGGATTTTAAGGAAAATACTTATCAAGTGACCTCCAGGATATCCAGGTTTGACACCTTTAGATTTCTTTCATGGAGTTACCTGAAATCTGACTCAAACTGGTCTTTTGGAACCTCACAGGGAACACTTCTCCAGATTTGATTAAAATTGCAGGAAACATGATTAGATTAGATGGTTTTTTATAGTTCGAAACTTTTCAAGTGATCACTTTATGAGAAGACTAACCAAAATGACACATGGGGATTGCTATTGAACTTCTGCTGTGGAGATAAACAAATAGAATTGAGGATGTGAGAGTATAAATGTTTGCTTGAATAATTTCGTCGTCTCAGAACTGGATTGGCCATTCATCTTTATATTTCATTATTTTGAAAATATCGCTGGAAACATGCAAATTTGACACACAATGTATACATAATATATAAAAGAATAAATATTTTAGCAGTGCGAAAATCAACGAGAGAAAAATATCTAAATATACATAATATATAAAAGAATAAATATTTTAGCAGTGCGAAAATCAACGGTAACTGAAAATATTCGAGAGAAAAATATCTGAGTATATTCCCCAGATCTGAATACATTAACATAACTTATAAATCAATTATGTAACGATGGATGCTAATACTTAAACGCTTCTGTCAATGGAATCAAATTAACATAATACAGAAATACAGACAGTTCAACCGAGTTACTTCCTGCAGGAATGATGATTTGGAAATGAGGAAAATGTTGGAAAAACTGGTGTCAGGTGTGGGATATATATTTCTGCTCAAGGGAATGAAGTAAGGGTTATTAATATTTCTGCTCCAGAGAGTGAGGAAAGGGTTAGAAAAACCGGTGAGAGATGTGGGGTAAATTATATTCAGAACATCTGCCTTAGTGGCAGATGTGGCACAAAAGACTTCATTTGAATGTTTTTTCATACGTATTGTAAATAAAGTGTGGCATCCTCAAAATATATTGTTTTTTCTTGATTTGATCTTATATTTCCCTAGCTACAATAAACCCTTGTGGGTTGCGGTGGAGGGTCGAATAGACCCATTTACTTTAGACCACTTTAGACCTATATTTCCCTATATGTGAACATTTTTGTATAAAATAAAAATAACTATAGCTCAAAATCTTTACGCGATGGAAAATTTTTGATGTTGAAGTCGCAGTCAGGATGCTTCAATCTCTCATGTATAGCCAATTTTATATGCAATTTTTTTCCCATTTGTTAACTATTGTTAACAAATATGTTTGCTCCTTACCTGCAAAACGTGATTATCAGCCTGACGCACTTGTGCGCCAAGCTCCTCCCTCCCAATAACACACATAGATGCAAAAACATGGTCAAGTTCTCCTCCATCATACTGACAAACTCCAACTGTNTGGTCACCACAGGGAGAGACCAACGCAGATTTGATTGAAAAAGTTCAAAAAAGATTTCTTAGATATCTTTATGTCAAAATTTATGGCTGCTATCCCATTATGGTGTCTTACAGAGTTAGAATGTTTCAATGTGTGGAGGGTAACTCCCAGCTCGTGGATCACGTCGCAACCCATGTAGAAGTCGTTCTTCCGCTTCGGCGTTGCTGACTTTTCGCCGGTATCGGTAGAAGGCTTATCGCTCTTTTTCGTCTTGCTGGTGCCGACGTCATTCTTGGAATTGACGGCTCTGACATGCAACAGCAAGTTCCTGACTTTGGTTTTGTACATTTTCGGGCTGGTGAGGGTCACGATGCCGCTCTGGTCGCTGAGATCTAGGTGCGAGGATATGTCTATAGGGCCTGCGAGTATCTCAGCATTGTGGGCTCTCAGATACTCTTGCGAGACCACGGGGTTTTCTACCCACTGCAGCATATCGATGGTTACGGTTTCGTCCACGGAGAACCTGACGTCCCGCTTGTGTCCTATGCCGCTTTTGTTCTGCCTCAAGAGAGTGATTTCGACTCTGGGCGAGCTCGTGCTAGGTTGCAGAGTGAAGTGCACGTCTACGTGGCCTAGCAACGTAGAGTTTGGAAGCGTGATTTCGAAAATGTGCTCGTCCCAAGTCGTCGTGTCAGTCAAAAGTCGCCAAGTTTTGGTTATTTGCTCGCCTTCGCCTTTGGACGAGTGTGGCTGTCTACGCTGCCGCAAAGACTGCTGAAATTCGCTCCAACACGGCGGCACGACTACGCAATAACCGGATTTCAGGGGCTCGAACTCGCATAGCGACTTGAAGTTCTTCAGGTCCGGTAAGGCGATGATGTCCGGAGGTTTTTGGAAATACTTGACGAGTTCTGCATTATCGAGCGTGTCAAGCTGTTGCGTTAAAGTGTTTGAGTTGTCTACGGGCATGCCGAATAGGTCGTCCTCTTCGTGATCGTCGCTGGATTCGTTGTCGGTGTTGTTAAGAGCAAAGAAGTGCAGGGAACCTTTCCTGGTGGATGCGCATAACCTGTCTAGGCCTGGAAAAAAGAACGAATTCAGTTGAAATTTAATAATAATAAAATATGGTCTGCGACCATGAGTGATCAGGAATTGGAGCATTTCTCTTTAGGGTAGCTGCCCGAGCAGCTGATGAACTCGGTTTAGTTTTCGACCCTGTCACCGAGTTGGAACCCGTTCAGCAAAAAGCTCATATGAAAGCCGCAGAGATCACCTCACTTCTGCGGAAACACAAGGATAAGCCAATGTATGAGGCCTTCGTGAATAACATTGAAGACCTTGGCTTATCCAAAGAACCTAATTTTCGCTTTCCTTAGGTCTAGTGGGCTAAAGTCGGAAACTGTGGGGTTGCCAGGATGGTGTCTTCAACACCTTAGTCTACCGCAGTCGCGTGATGGGTATAGAGGTTCCTGATACAAGGTGCAAGGCCTAATCTACCGCAGTCGCGTGATGGGCCTGCCGCGAGGTGTCCGAGACCCCAATGCACTTGCTACATATATAAAAAAAAGTTGATAGGCTACAATCAAATTAGTATTCAAGGAGAAACTCATCCTCAGAGTTTAAAGACATTGATATTTGAGGATTTAATGTCCCCAATAAGCTTATTATATAGCTTAACTAGTGACAGCTCGTGCATTGGAGAACAGGGGAGGCTAAAATCATAAAGACTATGTACACACAGAACAGCCTGCCGGAGGCGCGAAAATTTTTTGGGGTACCGCACCTATTTAAAACAAAATACGTGATATTTGCATACTACTATAATTTCTGCAACTAAAATTACAAATCGGGACGTATGTCGCTTGTTGGATCGGTCTCGTGGAGCCTGTGTTTTTTAAAGCGGTCGGAGGCTTGGCTCCCTTGTAACNAAAAAAGCAAAAACTGTTTTTTCGACTGGGAAAGTGATGGCGACTGCTTTTTGGAATAGTCAGGAAGTTATTTCAATTGATTATCTTCAAAAAGAAAAAACCATTGCAGGAGCATACTACGCACCATTACTTGATGAGCTGAAGGCAAAACTTGCAGATAAATGGCCACATTAGCAGAAAAAAATCCTGTTTCACCAAAACAAAGCACCGTCCCAAACCTCAGCGGTTGCCATGGCGAAAATCCACGAATTACGGTTTGAACTGCTTGACCATCCGCCTTACTCACCAGATCTAGCCCCAAGCGACTTTTTGTTCCCTCATATAAAAATTGCGCTCGAAGAACAGAGATGGGAGCACCGCTGGGAGACTATTTTCGCATGTGTTAGAGATATTTTGAAGAGAAAGGACACTCAAAAAAAAATAATTTTTTTTCCAAAGCATACGATAGGTTGCCTTTTATGTTTCGGGATTTGTTGCAATCTGGCAACTGACAGCTCTATCGTAAAGTTGGACATTTTTGACATACGTTTTGACATACGCGCGCTATTTGTGCTGTTTACAATAACTTACATTTTCGTGCGATAATTTTTTTCAACTTTTGACGTGGATTAACTCATCAACAGTGCATGGATGAACCTAATTCAATTTTTGGCGATGAAGCTCCATCAAGGACCAGTGTTTATCGGCTCACATCGGCTCAAACAACTGCATATTTGAGCACTCAAAACATCGATTTGATGAGTCATCCGCCGTATAGTCCTGACTTAGCACCGAATGACTTCTTTTCATTCCCGCACGTAAAAAACAATTTGTTCAAAAGCAAGCAAAAGTGTATAGATCTTCATGGGGAATATTTTGAAAAACAATAAAGTGATTTTCGATGATTAATATTTGCTTTTGTTCTCTAATCCCGAAATATAAAAGGCAACCCTCGTACTTTCAAACCTAGGAAAATAGGTAGATAAGTACCAATATACATTACAACCAAGAAAAAAAAAATTAACAAGAGTTGAAAATAAAATACACAAAAAGAAAAAATTTGTTCTTCATGAAAGTAATACCTTTTTTATTGGTAAATATTTTTCAGTCTCACACCAGTTTCTGAAATATTTTTATTAGGACAGTTTTACCGGAGAAGGAAACCGTATAAGAACGTGGATTTAACAATTTCGTGGTCAGTGGAGGGGTTTCAAAATCTTCTTTTGAAATCAAGTGGAAAGCGATACTTACCTAGCTTATTGTCATTTTCGATATCTCCGTCTTGTAACATATCCCAGATCCACGTGTTGTAGTTAGGATCATTGACGGGAACAGAAGTGCTGCTCCCCTGTTTTGCCTTTTGACTGCTCTTGAACAATTTCTCTACTTGTATTGTCATAAACTTCTCCAAGTTCTCTTTCTTGTCGCCTAAAGCCTCGGCAACTCCTCCGCTGAACGCGATTGGCAGCAAAGTGTTTAGGTAGGAGGAGTTTGCAGTCGCGTCTGCCCGTTCTACTCTCGTTCCCTCGCTGGCCGATATGCAAGTGAAGTGAAGCGGCTGCGTTTCGATGAGACCCTGGAGAACCAAAGATTTCAATTTACCAGACAAAGGATAATTCAACCGAGTCTAACAAATCAAGGCATTCCCAAAAAAAAAAAAGANCTGCTGCATGCATCTCTTCATTACATTATTGTATTTACCCTGGACTGAGACGACTAAGTCGCCGGCATAGCCCAGTGCTTCATACCCATTGTGGTCCAGGAGACATAATAGCTCGTCCATTGCAAGGTTCCATAACAGAGGGGATAAAACCCCCCTTGAGTTCAGCATAATGGTTGTATATACCAATCTTCCCCTAAGCATGCAGTCTATCTACCTACAGCGTGTCTTGTCGATCCCTCTGTTCCTTTAGATGAAGTAATAGTTTTGCCACATCAGTGAAAGTCAGAGTTGTCAATTAGCACTGATCCCATCATGAATAATTTTGATAACGTTTTTACTACCGTTTTTTTTTTTTAACTTCAACGACCTGTATCTTAGAAACGAAGCAAATCCGGACATATGTTCATAGGAACTTTTTTTCTTAAAACGACCTAACGGACTCGCTTGCGACTAGTCTTGTTCTCAAAAACTGAAACAAAAACCTGTTTCAGTTTCGAAAACAAACTCGTGAATAGAATTCCACCAAACAGACAAAAACAAGTCTGACTCGCGTGTTTTGTTGTGAAATATTTTCTGTCGTTTCCACTAAAATAACAGATTTCATTATGCCCTCTCTGAACGATGTTTTTGAGAGAAAGGACGAAAGGGGTGAGAGTGAAAAAAACCAAGATACTGAGTGAGATCATTGTTAGGGAGATGACGAGATTATGGAACAGAAGAAATTATGACAGATTTAATGAATGATGACAGAGAAATTAATAGAAAAGTCGGATCATCGAAATTTATATAAAGCTTTGAATAAAGTAGTGTCACACAAAGTCACACATAAAACTTGTGAAGATTAAAATCAGTTTTTGGGCCTGAGTTAGTGATAATTTGATAATTTATTAATATCTTAAATCGATTCAGTTGGGACTAAACCATAAAGTGCCTGAAATTAGCCACATGTGGCAAGACAAGTATACAAAGTAAAGGCAGGTCCACACAGTCAGCTGCCTGTATTTTTGCTGAAATCATCTATAACTCCCTAGACAATGGTATGCACGTGGCAGGAATATTTTTTGACCTCTCACGTGCATTTGACTGTCTATCTTACGACTTTATTGAAACCAAACTTTATAATCTAGGATTTAGGGGTGTATTTTTACAATGGCTCAAACATTTTCTTTCAGACCGTACAATGTTGGTAAAAATAAAAGATGCACTATCTGATCCTCAACCAATCAGTTCAGGAGTTCCTCAAGGCTCTGTCCTGGGACCGCTTGTTTTTCTATTATTCGTCAATGATCTACCCAAATACTTCAACAACAATAGTCTCCCTCTCTTTGCTGACGATACCTCGTTAGCGGTCTCAGCACACAGCCTAGAGGCATTAAAGTCATCAACGGAAAGGTTTATAATACACTTCTTAGATTGGTGCAAATTAAACAATCTGATTGTTAACTTGAATAAAACAAAATGTATCCATTTTAATTCTTCCATCGGTCTTGATAAACATCCTACTGTCTTTGATATTAGAGGGGTGGGATTGGTATCAACGAATTTTACAAAATTTCTAGGAGTCTATGTGGATGATTGTTTAAGATGGTCTGAACACATTACAGTCACTTGTAAAAAAGTTAACCAAGCGTACTATGCTCTCTCCAGAATAAAACATTTTATGCCCTTGCATGCCTTGCTGGACGTATATTATAGCTTGGTCTACAGCCATTTAAGCTACAATGTGGTTCTTTGGGGATATGCCACCAACAAAGATAGGGTTTTTATTTCCCAAAAAAAAATTATCAGAAAATTATTTGATATCCCATGGAGAGAATCGTGCAAACAGCACTTCATATCATATCAAATCCTGCCATTCCCT